TCAGGACAGAAATGACACATATTTAAACAGGCCAATTTCTGTCCCTAAAATGAGGAAACAGCAAACTAAATGTGCAACAGTCATCAAACTTCAGTGAACAGGAGTTCAAAGCACCCACTTCTTCAATGCTAAAAAGTGGTTGTTGGGAGCCAGAGAGACGGCTCAGTGAATAAAGTGTGCTGTACAGGCTTACTGACCTGAGTCCAACCCCAGGACCCACAGCCAGGACAGAACTGGGCTGGAGGGATGGCTGAGTAGTTCAGAGCTTGGTGCTCTTCCAGAAGACCCAAGTTCAGTTCCTACCACTCAAAATGGGCGAATCACACTACCTGTTAACTCCAGCTGCAGGGGAGTCTAAGCTTTCTCTTGGCCTCCTTTAGAACTTACACAAACACACACACACACACACACACACACACACACACCCTATGCATACATAAACAGTAAGATAAATCCTAAAATAAACTTTTTTTTTTTTTTTTGGTTTTTTCGAGACAGGGTTTCTCTGTGTAGCTTTGCGCCTTTCCTGGAACTCGCTTTGGAGACCAGGCTGGCCTCGAACTCACAGAGATCCGCCTGGCTCTGCCTCCCGAGTGCTGGGATTAAAGGCGTGCGCCACCACCGCCCGGCCCCTAAAATAAACTTTAAAAATAGTTGTCCCTTCCAACCAAGAGATCCCAATTTAGTTAGGAGGACAAGGACCCCAGATTTTCTGTTTTGCTTTTCAAACCCCCCAAGTAATTCTGGTCTGGGCAGACCTTTCTGTTTTTGAAATAGGGTCTTGCTTTGTAGCCCAGGCTGGCTTTGAACTGGTCCTCCTCCTGTCCCAATTTCTGGAGTGCCACCGGAAGGCACTACTACATCTGGACACCAGGTGACTCTGCTGCAAGTACTGTATTTTCTTGGTCAGAGGCTGAGATAAGGACTTGATTTGTAGTCTAGGTGTCCTAGCACTTTATAGGTAACACAGTCTCTCTACCCCAGAACTCAGGCAATCCTGTCAAATGCTGGGATTACAGGCACGCACTACAATTAACCTGATCTAGAAGTATTTCAAGAATACTTTACTCACTGCTGTGTGACCCCAAAGTTCTTCAGAAGTTTTAAATTTCTCAACTATGAAGGAGTCAAGGCTTCAGAGGAGCAAGTATGATGGCTCAGCAGGTTAAGGTACTTGCCACCAAGCCTAAAGACCTGAGGTTGATTCCCAGGGACCACATTATCCTCTGACCTCCATATGTATGCTGTGCCCCACATACATACACACTCACTCTATTTTTTTTTTTTTTTTTTGATTTTTCGAGACAGGGTTTCTCTATGTAGCTCTGGCTGTCCTGGAACTCACTATAAAGACCAGGCTGGCCTCGAACTCAGAGATCCAATTGCCTCTGCCTCCCAAGTGCTGGGACAAAAGGTGTGTGCCACCATCACCCGGCCATACAGACTCTAAATAAATAAATGTAAAGAGAGAGAAGGAGGCTTCAGACATTGACCAAACAGTCTGCACAGCACTTAATACAATGCTGGGTTGTAACGGCTGATTCTCCAGTTCCACAGCACCAAAAGCAAGCAAGAACTAGACAGGTGGACACAGCCATCACTACCTCCTCAAACATTTCTTTCTAGAGACTGAGGCTTTCTTCTTTTAAACATTTACTTTGTTGGCCTGTGCGGTGGTGGAATAAGACAGGACAGATATGCCACAGGATGCATGTGGAGGTCAAGAGCGGACAACATGTGAGAACTGGCTTTCTCTCCTCCATCATCTGGACCCGAGGGACTGAGCTCAGATCTTCAGCCCTGGTAGAAAGTACCTTAACCCACTGAACCACCTTGCAGTCCAAAATTTCTAACTCGGGATGGTTTTTCCCTCTTAGGGGAGGGGAGATCAAACCCAGTCACATAACCATGCTGGGCAAGCGACACCACAGAGCTACACCTCTAGCCTGTGCTTTGTCTGTGCATTTGTTTTCCACTTTCATACTACAATTTCCACCTAGGGTACTCCCCTGTGGAACCCCGCTCACTCTCTGGAGTCTCTCTCCCTTTTCCTTAATAAATCGACATTTGCTCTACTGAAAACAACATTTTTTCACCGACAACATCCCACAGTGACCCCCCGGTCAGCTGTGCTCTTTGCTTCCTCTGTAACTGTGTGACATGTGACAAGTTCTGGGACACATTACTTAAGTACTTTCAGTTCTGTAAACAAATTTTAAAAAGGCAAAAAGCCCCCAACACAAATCAGAAAACATTCCACTTTTCATGTCATTGATGTGAAAATTTTTTTTAGAAAGTTGACACTTTTGATGAACAAATCCTGTTTGCTTTTTATGGCAGACCACAAAAGACAGTTTTTAATCTAAACGAAGTTACATGCTTTTAGAAAAGCAGTTTAACTGAACTAAAACTAATCTCATTTCACCAATAAGTGCTAGCTCCTCCCACTCACTGTCTTTTGTTTTCCAGTACCAAGGATTGAGGACAAGGTCTGACCCATGCCAGGCAACCACACTCATCACTGACTTACAACTCCAGTCCCTTTCCTACCTTAAAATCCAAACTACACCAGGCAGTGGCACATGCCTTTAATCTGTACTGGGGAGACAGAGACCAGCCAGAGCTACAAAGTAAGAGCCTGTCTCAAAACAAACACAACCCAAAATACAATTAGTAAATCCTAACTCTGTCTTACCCAGGAATTACATATACATATATTATACATAAACATTGTTTTGTAGTTAACTAGAAGTTTTAGAAAGCAGAAATCATATGATGTTGCTATGTAAACAGAGGGAGTTGATTTATCATTTACAAAAGCATCTGGTTGCTACTCTCAAGTGTCTCCCATGATGAGTGTATGCCTATACTATGAGTCCTTTCCAGACTCCTTAGAGCTCACACCCCTGCTCTTGGGTGTGTCTGTCTTTCTGAGAGAGTGGCTCTTTCTCAACCCTCATGCTTAAGTCTATAATAAATTAAATATCTTTATAAAACCCCACCTTGGGCCTGCAAGATGGCTCAGTAATTGCTCACTGTGCAAGCCTAACGCCCTAGTTCAACCCCAGAGCCCACGTAAAGGTGGGAGGTGAGAGCGGACCCTACAAATCTGTTCTCTGTATCAGAATACAAGTATGACATTAAAGCAGAAAGGACACTATTTGGAGAAAGGAAAGGGATCAGCCCTACTAAGTGCCCCTCCATGATAATAAATGTTAAAGATTCTGCTTCGGGAGCTGCGGAGATGACTTCAGTAGTTCAGAGCACACTGCTCTTACAGAGAACCTGAGTTCGGTTCCCAGCATCCACATCGGACTGCTCACAACCACCAGGACCTGCAGGTTCAGAGGACCTGACCCCCTGCGGCCTCTACAGCACTTGCACACAGATGCACCTAGCCACAGAATTAAAAATAAACCCTTACACCCCTCTGTTCCCCGGGAGAGTCCTTGCTTACCTGGAACTGGCTATGCAAAACAGCCTGTACTCTAATTCAGAGACTCACCCACCCCTGCCTTCTAGAGTGCTCGGATTAAAAGCGTGAGCAACCTTGACCAGCTATCCTCTTATCAATATCCTGCAATCTTAGCAATACACTGCGATGTTTGATCATCTACACCATTAACCAACACCTGTATCTCACATCATCTAGGATGGATAAGTAAAAGCAAAATGGACAACAGAAGTAAAAACTTGGCTGGGTGGCACTTGAGAGGCAGAGGCAGGAAAAATGCCTTAAGTTCCAGGCTTAACCGAGCTACATGGACATTTGTCTCAAAACAAAACAAAACAAAACAAAAAAACAAAAAACCCTGAGTGGTGGCTGCACAAGTAATCACAACATCGGAGGCAGAGGCAGGTGGATCTGAGTTTGAGGCCAGCTTGGTTTACAAAGTGAGTTCCAGGACAGCCAGGACAATGAAGAAATCCTGTTTGGGGGAGGTGGGGGAGCCTAAGACATAAAGTGTGAGCTGTTAAATGGTAAAATGGTGGCATCGAAACTCTAGTTAGTGGCAATCGTATATCTGTATCAGTAGTTTTCAATACAGCACTTGTACAAGGCACTACATGCATTGCTATCCTTCAAAGACAAATGCAGAAATCAGAGCTTTAAACTGGGGGCAGCTTAAACGGGGAATTTAAAGAGTAAAGATGGGGAAAGGGTGAGGGAGCAGTCAAAGAACACAAACTCAGTTTTAAGTTCTGGATACTTAATGTATAGTACAGTGATTAATAAATGTGTACTTGAAACTTGCTGAGAGCAGACCAAGTGTTCTCATCAAAAAGGACCTGACGGTACTGGGGTGAGGTGTGCACTACTTAACTTGGCAAAGGTAATCATTTCACAACCTCTACATGCATCAAAATATCACGCTGTACATTTTAAATAATATAAATTATGATTTTGTAAGCCGTATCTCCATAAAGCTAGAGAAAGGAAACAATATCCAGAGAACCCCGAAATGGATCGGGGCTGAGGGATATACTAGAAAAAAGTAAAGATAACTGAGGACTACCGTTTCTTTGCAAAAAAAAAAATCCGTGAGGGCAGAGCTAAGATTTGCTGACTGCAAAAAGAAAAAAAAAATCATTACAAAAAGGTAAATTTAGACTAAATCCATACCATTCCGCAAAGAAAAGGGGAACGGGGATTCCAGAAAGCCACCGAAAGATTCTGACGGTAACCACCACCGGGAACGTCTGGGGATGGGGGCGTTCCAAGCCGGCCTCCACCTCGGCCACCCCACCTGCAGCGCGGGGCCTGGGAAGAGCAGGCTCAGCACCGGGCTGGACCGCCCGCCCCGGGCGAGGAGGCAGCCGCCGGGTTCCCGCGGAGCCGAGGAGCGCACGACCCCCGGGCAGAAGGGCGGGGCGCGCGCCGCGGAGGTCGGCAGGGCGACGCCGGGGGCGGGCGGGCGGCTGCGCAGCCCGGGACCCCTCCTCAGGCCCCGGCGGGGAAAGGGGCCGAGGCTCCTACGCGAACGGAAAGCACAACTTACTCCGCGGTCTTCCTCCGAGAGGAAGTCGGGGCCGTCATCCAGGCCTTCCTGCTGAGTCCGCGGGCCCGGCGCACCGAGCGGGAGGAAGGGAAAGGGGAGACACAAAGAGAGACATTAGCGCCCGGCCCGCGCCGTCCCCGCGCCCGCCGCGCCCGCCGCCCCCACCGCGCGCCCCGGGTTCGGCGCCGCCGTGAACACCCACCATCATGGCTGCTTCGAGTCCGGGGCTCGCGCAGGCGCACACGCGAGGCCACGCCAGGAGCCGGCCGCGCGGGTGGGGCTGGGGGCGGAGCCTAGCGCCGGGCCCGCCCCCTGCCCTTAGGAACCGGGAGGGCTGGTGGGGGTGTCCGTGCAGGAGAAAGGACACCGGGTCCTTTGCGCCAGGTGAGAGGGAGGGTCGGCCCGAGCCGTGGTAGCCGCTTGCTGCTGGCTAGCTCAGGCTCGGGAAGGCCCCAGGGCCACCGGGAGAGCTGTCCAGTTCCCTTGCCCCGAGGGCCCAGAAAAACTGTGCAAGCACCCGCAGGAAGCCTCAGTAAATATTCTTGTCTTTGTATTGGATTACGCGATGATTAATCACCATTAATACCACATTGCCCGTAGAAGTTTGAGGAACCGGAGAGCCTTTACACAGTAAGCAGACAGGGGCTATAATCAAGGTTTTACTGCTGGGGAAGTAATAACTACCTCAGTTTGGGGTGCTAATGACGGAGCACTATAAAAACGAGCTGTTCTGATTACAAGAGCATTCCTTGCCTTTACACTAAGAAATAATCCCCGGACTTGCTCTAACTGTCCAGATGGATAGCACCAAACCAGTATCCATAGGGACTTCAGAACAAGAAAATCATTTCTTGGGCCAGCATGATGGCTTAGCAGCGAGGAAAGGTACTTGCTGCTAAGCCTAATGACCTGAGTTCGATCCCCAGGACTGATCCACAAGGTAGAAAGGTACTGCACGTTGTTCTTTAACATACATACATGCACACACACAAGATCGATAAATAAAAGTAAGTTTAAAAGAAAAAAATTCTAATGTACTGCACTTCACCTCTACAAAAGAAACACTCACGCAATCCTTATGTCTCCATTCATTTAATGACATCAGCACCTTCAAGTGTTCAAGGCAGAAATCTATCCTATTCAAATCCTTTATCCTCCTCACTCCTCACTCATCAAATCTAAATGCCACCATGTCTACGATTGACTCATTTTCTCCACCTCCCTTCCTACACATAGACGTGTATATCCATCCTCTCCCCACTCCTAGCCTTACCAGCATCCCAACCTCCCTGGGCCTGGACAATGGCACCCTCATGTCAGCTAAGAAGAAGTTACAGAAGAGATTACATCACCCCTAATCATCAACAGATGTCTGGAATGTCAGATCCAAAAAAACTGCAGACAAATGGCTAACTGTGGTCCCTATTAGGATACCAAAGTGCATGCTGGCCTCCAGGCTCTCAGGATTGCAAGTACCTGTTACAGAGTCCATGCTGGCAGCCTGGCTCCCTACCCTAAACTTCTCCAGCTCACGGGCTTCCCTTCCCCCAGCTTCTCATATAACCCCGCCATTCTGGCCACGTGCTCTCTCTCTTTGCTCTCTCTCCTCTTTACTCCCTCTCTCTTCCCTTCCTCTCTTACTCTCCCCATTCCCTCTCTCTCCACTCATAACCTGGCCCAGTCTGCTGGCCATGTTTAGTTTACTACTTTCTCTTCCTGCTCTGGACTCTTCCAGATGCCTCAGGCTCTACCCTCCCTCATATCTACAATAAAAACCTTCCCCTCAACCATTCCTTGGATCGGTCATGTCCTCACTTTACAGTTTTTGAGACATATACCTCTGGATGACCTACCTGTATCAACCAGACTGGCCTCAAACTTGCAGAGATCCTCCTGCTTCTGTTTCCCCAGATGCTAGGATTATAAATTCTACTTCCACACCTGGCTTATTTTTGTTACGTTTCTTTGTGTGTGTGAAGTTTTTCCTTTCTTTATTCCTGTAGCATTTTTTGAATTGGTCCTGCTTTCTCCACTTCCACACTAGTCACTGTTCATGTCTCTTCTCTGGTCATTTACAATTATCAGTCTTTCAAGTGCCGAGATTATTCTTTTCCTAAGATTTTCTAGGATACTGTGTTGCTCAGGTTTTCCTCAAGTTTGTGATCTTCCTGCCTCAACCTCCTAAATGCTATAATTAAAGTTGTGTACTGAAGTGGCCGTCCCCTCTTATAACAGGACCGACACTAACAGGGCCAGTTGTTGTTTTTTTCCCCCAGGGACCAGTTTGCTAAGACCTCTGCCCCGTATTACCCCATCATCCTATGTTGACTCATGTCTGGCTTCAATCAGACTCTCAGGAAATACATCCAGTCTGGTAACTAATCAGGGTCCCACCTGGCCACGAGCAGGAACTGTTCTTGCTATTTTCAGTCAGACAGATGCCTGACTCAGCAAACTGACCCCTGACGCTGCAACCGTAGTTGCTACCAGATGTCACAAGCCAATCATAAAATGATTCCTGTACCACTAAGGGTCTATACCCAATCACTTCAAAGTGTACTTAACCACAGCTGGAATTCCCCTAATCCTGCTTAAAAGGAGACTTCGAGCTTCTCAGGATCACCATTTGCCACTGTATCAGATGGTTGACCCCTGCATGCTGGCCTTTTTTATTAAACACACTTGTTGATTGCATAAGTGATTGGTGTTTTTTTTTTTTTAATGGGACTTCTCTTGGACCCTAACATGTACCATCACTACTGAATATCTCCTAATTTTTTCTTATTCTCCATATCTCTCTCCCTTATCCTGCACACTGTTACTAGTACACAACACAGATGTGGATGATTTCTAGGAGATTCTGCTCAATAATGTGTATGTTTGAGCAGTGGGTGCATGCATGTGTATGCATGTTTGTGTACAGATGTATGCAGCCATATGTGCATAAGCGAAGGCCAGAGGTTGAAGTCAGGTGTTATCTTCTTCTATCACTCTCCTCATCTCCAAAGACAGGGTCTCTAACTGAACCTGGCTGGCCACTGAACCCCAGTGATCTTCCTGTCTCTGCCTCCTCAGTCCTGAGATTACAGATTCATGTTCTTTTTTTATTTTTATTTTTAATGTAATTGCTGGGTGCAGTGGTTGAAAGAAAATGGCCCCCAAAGGGAGTGGCACTATTAGGTATGACCTTGTTGAAGTAGGTGTGGTCTTGTTGGAGAAACTCATCACTGTGGAGGCAGGCTTTGAGGTCTCATATATGCTCAAGCCACACCCAGTGTCTCAGATCACTTCCTGTTGCCTTTGGATCAAGATGTAAGGACTCTCGGCTCCAAAACCATGACTGCCTGTATGCTGATGATGGTAAAATGGCGCTGGTGGGTGGCACTGCTTACCAGCGGAAGAGTCAAGGTCCACGGCCACGACTACCAGAGTTATAAAGAGCTTTATTAGAAAGAAGAGGGGATAGGAGGGAGGAGCCAGGTCTGGCGGGGGAGGGAAGTGGGCAGCAGAGCAGAGAGGAAACAGAAAGAGAGGGTGGGGGTTCACCTCCAGCTTTTTAAGCCGGTACGTAGTCGTACATGGTTGCTCACGCACACAGACCCGGAGCTGGACCCGGAGCTGCGCATGTGCCAGAGTGAGAGCAGGATCCTAACAGCTGCCTTGCTTCCCACTGTGACGATAAGGGACTAAACCTCTGAACTGTAAGCCAGCCCCAATTAAATGTTTTCCTTTGGCTGGGTGGTGGTGGCGGCGGCGGCGCACGCCTTTAATCCCAGCACTTGGGAGGCAGAGGCAGGTGGATCTCTGTGAGTTCGAGGCCAGTCTGGTCTACAGCGTGAGTTCCGGGACAGCCAAGGCTACACAGAGAAACCCTGTCTCAACAAACACAACAAAATAAAAAATGTTTGTATGCATGTGCACATGTCTGTACATGTGTGGAAGTCAAAAGACAACCTCAGGCGTCCTCAGGAAGGCTATTCACTTTTTATGACATGGGGTCTCTCATTTGGCTGAAGGTCACTAATTAGGCTAGACTGACTGGCTAGGAAGGCTTCTGCCTCAAGCGCTGGCATTACAAACAGGCAACACACGTCTATCGTTTTTCTCACAGGCTCTGGGAATAGGATTTACTGACGGAGCCATCTCTGTAACCCCTAAAATGGTCTTTTAAACTTCAAACCATGAGGGATTGTGCAGCACCAGTGAGGATAAATGTTTCAGTGAGCCAGGCATGTGTAGTGGTTCACACCTGTAATCCCAGTACTTAGGAGGCTGAGGCAGGAGAATTGCCATGAGTCAGAGGCCAGGTCAAGGTACATAGTGATTTCTAGCACAGCCTGGGCTACCTGCCAAAACCTGTCTCAGAAATTACAATGTAATCCCAAACAGGGAGAGGCAGGTCATCCTTAGCTACACAGGGAATTTGAGACTAGCCTGAGCTACATGGGATCCTCTCTTTCTGTCTCTGTCTCTGTCTCTGTCTCTGTCTCTGTCTCTCTCTCTCTCTCTCTCTCTCTCTCACACACACACACACACACACACACACACACACACACACACACACACACCCCTAAAAAAGTTCTTAAATGACTTAACAGACCAAAAAAATGTGATTTTGTTTTTTGGTTGAGTAGGTTGAGAAAGAGTGAAGGGAGCAGGCAAAAGCACCTTATCCTAGGTACTGCCATTTTGACTTTGGAAACAGTAACTTGGCAACAAATGGTTGTGATTTTTATGCTGATACAACCTGTGCTGCCAGGAGAAACAAGGCTCCCGAGTCCTTGTCCTGCGGCCCTGATCCATCAGTGACCGGCTTATGTGGTGATTTATTGAAGTCTTTGGAACCCGTAAGGGTTGTCTCCTTCCTTGTGGCGCACAAGGGGCTGGGTGTAACAAGGAGTGGAGCTGCCATTGATGAGCAGGATTTGTGTACCACTCACAGCAGAGTCCTGTCTGTCCATGTGGGTGAAGGTCGAGAAGAGCCATATGGAAACACTTCAGATGCCTCAGTTATTTTTAAATTTCTTATTTATTAACATCTGTGTGGGGGGTGTGACAGACGTGTGCACATGCCCTGGTGTACATGTGGAGGTCAGAGAACAACTTCTGAGGACTGTTTCTCTCCTTCCACCAGGTATTCAAAGTCTTGAACTCAAGCAGTCAGACCTGCCTGCGTGGTAAGCACCTTTACCCGCCGCGCCATCTCACTGGCCCTGCCTCAGTCGTTGTCCCAGGGTCTTAAATGTTAGCATTCTAATGAGGCCCAGAGA